AATGCACGAAACACACCCCATAATCACGAATCACACCTCATACGCGAGGGACTGTGGTGGCGAGTCCACAGTCTCCTCTGTCTCGACACTCATCACATCCACCTCCTCGGAGGAAGATAGATGAAGCGTCTGGCTCTCTCTCTCTGGGTGGGGGGGGAGGGGAAGAAACCACAGCGTGGGCTTCCGAACCGTGAGCGAGAGCCGCGGATCTAGCAGGTGAGGACCGAGAAAAGGACGAGCCCATCTCTGACAATCAGCTGCTCGAAAGCTGACCGTGCATGCTCCGCTCCCAAACAAACGACACACAAATCGTGTGTATCCCCCGCTGCCAGATATCGTGGGCAGGGAGAAGCACAGTGTTTGTAATGCCGTTCGCTCGCCATAGATTTTTTCATGATTGTTTTTTATATATGCTTGTGCGGACAGACAACAGTAAATAGACAGACACATACACAGAGCGCTACTGAAGAGCAGAAACTGGTTTGCGCTCTGCTGGATGCGCTTTTATACTTTCTGGTGCTTACGTCACCCCGCTTGTGACGTCTCGCTGCTCCATTGGACTGATTTGACACGTGCTTCAGAACGCAAGGGCGTTCCCAAAGCGACTCGACGCAGTTTGAGTTCCTGAAGGGGAACCTTAATATTTCAGCAGTATTGTTCAGTTTGAAAATCTTTGTTCAGATAACTGTTTGACTAGTTTGGGACAACATTTAAGGGAATTATGATGATCTAACATGGGCTTTTATTGTAGTTTCAATAATTCACATTTCTTAGTATTTATGACTCAAAATGTTGCTTTTTTACAGAGTGCGATTTTTTTTCAGGTGCAAATAGGGGGAAAAAATTTAAACATTTTTAATGACATCTCAGACTTTTATGAGCGTGTGTTTTACCTTGTCTGTGGAAGAGTTTGCTGCCCACTATCTCAGTCATGGACGCCACTTTCTGTTTCTTTAGTTTATCCGGAGGAATGCAGATGAAGAAATCATACAACAGCTTACTGCAAACAGACAGACAGAAAAGTACATGGCATTAAAAAAAGTAAATGGGATCCATTTTGATTTCATGTTGACATGAAAATGTAAAAGAGCTTTAATTTATGCACTTAATGTCTCACTGGCAGTCAGTTTTGTGGTATTTTGAAAGTCAGCTAATCAGTTTTTGCACAACAGTGCAAACGTGTCATTTTGTATTGTATTTCTGTAGTAACACTTTATCCATAGTCTTTAATAAAATATTTAAAAAAAATAGCAGAAATGAATCCATAAATAAATGCCGAGGCTTCTGTGGGCAGACAAAGTGACCTGTGTTTTATTGATTGAGTCTGAACACCACCAGGGTCTGTGAGAAACTATTGTATCATATCAACCTTTCAAGGAGCCGCTAGAATCGCCTGTGTTTTGTGTACTGTGATGAATTGGACGCCACTTGAAGCGAAACACACACACTCCCTAATCTAACTAGATGAAAACACTCAAACTAAACTATCCATATGAGAGAAACTCACTCCACTGTTTCTCAAACTCAAGTCGAGACATCAGTCATCGGCTTCAGTTAACCGCATGAGCAGCTAAACTAGTTAAAGTCACATTACGGTTATAATAGCATTAGCTTTTGAGTAGATCAGGTAAATGTAGGAGGACAAGTGCATTAAAGACCATCAGCTTCAGAGTAAAGGAGAGACTGTGTGTTTGTGGTGATTGATTGCTGCAGTTAGTGACGTCACAAACTTGATGTTGGTCATTAAAGTGTCATCAAGCACTTGTAGAAACGGTTGCTGTAAGTTCCTCAGTACATCAGTTCAGCCCAGACCGATCAGGTGTGTTTTCGAGATTTTAGGCTCTTATGAGACTCACCTGAGGAGTTTAGCATCGAACACGGTCTCCACATCTTGCAGGACTGTGGGCAAGTACTTCAGAGCGGCCACCTATACACATACATTCATATAAAACGTTATATGTTTAAAAATATATGTTAATATAAATAAAACATTTTTTTAAATCATATATAAAACATTTGAAATAATTAGATGTACTTTTTTATATAATGTTATATAATTTAAAAAAACTATGAATAATTCATTTATAAATAATTTAGTTAAAAATGAATTGTAAAATAATGTATATATTTCAGTATTATTTATTGTAATATTAATATACATACACAAATCAAAAAAGATAATTTATATATATACATTTGCTTGTCAAAAAATTTAAGTGGTGTTCACACATGATAATGCATGAAGAAACATGTCAGAAAATGCATTTGATTTATGCATTAATAACCATTCCTGATATTATGCATAAAGTCACAAAAGTCACTATAACCAGCAGCGATTAAAAGTATGAACAGTGCATGACATGGAAGAGAGATTTAACTGCTTGAGGCTTTATTGCAATGCATCTGGCCAGGACAATAAAGACGGGGATGAGTCTAGAAAGTTTGTGGGTCACTTATGACACTAAAGCCAATGTAAGAGCTTTCAGATGACAGACGCTTTGGATTGTGACAGTGACTTTGACTGAAACTTCTATCACATTTTAGACACAGTCCAAAGATTCATCTCTCTCTCTCTCTGTCTCTCCATCAGGTCAGTTGTGTCTCTCTCTCTGGTTTATCTCTCTGTCAAGAGTAACTCGGCACAGATGTTATAGTTGGTGGGGTTTCTGAGGGTGGAGATTATGCTGTAACACACAACAGTATTTACCGTGGTACCGCTGAAGAACAGACGTGATTACTGAAGCATTGTTCCTCTAATCCACATGAGAGCCACAGTTAATACGCCACCTCTGACCTCACACAATAACACACACACACACTACAATAAACACACACACACGCTCACAAAACAAAGATGCATATATACTGACATTGAGACAAACAGATGTACATTTCCTAGAATCAATAAATCTTTCCAAATACGCACATGCATGCAAACTGACACAATTCATCCTCAACAAAATCACTTAAAAATCAGGGCTGAATGCAATATAAACATCAAATCTGATTGGTTCTGAAATGCTGGTTAGGCTGCAGTGTTATTTTAGTTTTGAGATCACAAGCTGCTTTGTGTATTTCATTCATTTAAAAGCACATTTGTATGTACATTAAATTTAAGTGAAAATAAATAGTAAAACCGAACTAAAACTGAAATGAAAATTGATTAAACCCAAAGAGTAATATCAAAAAACAACATAATAAAAATAACAAAAAATTAGAATTGAAAATATATATTTTTATATAAAGCATATAAATATTTTTGAAACATAAATAGTATTATTTTAGTTTTGAGAACACAAGCTGCTTTGATGTAACAGCCAAAAGTTATTTGAAAATATAATAAATAAAAATGTCATTAACCAAATTCAAAAATATCCTTTATCCTTTTTTTAGCATTTATTTATGTATTTTATTTTATTATTTTTAATTGTTAGCCTTACATCAACTCATAAATCCCAGTTTGAGAAAGCCTGCACTAGTGGAAGGACGACATGAATCAATTTGATTCAGATGATTCAATTGTTTTAATGAACATTTTGATTACTAAAACAAAGCTAATTAAAAAAATTTGGCTGATTTAACCTTTCAAAACACAATAAAAAACAATAATTAAAGCGGAAGAGCAAATACTATGATCTATGCGAAGGAACTAAAATGACTGTTTTAAAGCATCTGTTTTTTAAAATCATCTTAGAGGAAAAGCTCCCCAAATTCAAGCTAAATAATAAATATTTCATGAACAATTTGGGGTAATTTTCCCATTAATTTCCTCTTTTCGATTATGTAATGTAAAGAATTATTCAATTTCCAGAGCGTGCACCAAACCCAGACGTTCTCACACCCACATGGTGAAACGTCTCTTCTCTCTGGGAATATAACATCTGCGGTTTAATCTGGATGTATCAGAGAGTTCTTTTAAAAGCATAGAGCAATGACGCTTTCCATCAAACTCCATTAACAGAGTGAAGCGCCTCCTGCCAGGACTGAATCCAGAGCAAAAACACTCCTGCTGAGAGCCTTCGGACTAATAAACACTGAAAAATGATCCGGCCGTGATGGGCCTGCATTTCTAAAGATGTTAGTGTGCATCAGCGTACAGCAGTAAACAGACTAGTTAATATGAGCAAGAGCGAAAGAAAGAAAGAAGTTAAAGCCTTTGCCTTAGAAATTTAAGCCAAATTCAAAAGAAAAAAATTTAATAAATAAATAAATATTATTTAAATGTAATTTTTACAATTTAAATATTTGCATATAAAAAAAAATATGTACATAAATACTAATACAATTGATTACATTGCAATGTTCTAGTTCATAGATTTGACTTATATGGTACCATTTTTCATTTGACTCAATCTGATCAGATAACTGGACACCACTTGCTGAATTAAATGCGATGAGGGCATTTGACAATTCAGTTAGTATACAACTGTATGAAATGCTACATACTGCATACTCTCTGCATTTAAAGATTTGTTAGCATGCATTGACGTACTGCAATAAAAAAGACTAGTTAAAATGAGAGAGAAAGCTTAAGAAAGAAAGATAATATTTTAAGCCAAAGTAAATCATTCAAATTTAAAATATAAAAATAAATATGCAAATAAATACTTTGCATAAATAAAATTAAGTTAATTGTGGTGTGTAATTAAAGCATTTATTGTGATCATATGCTGCTCGCAGTGTGACTGATCTGTCGCTCTCTCTTGTCGGTCATTACTGCAACCACACACACACTAAGATTCATTTAGCAGCTGTTTTGGCATCAATGACTGTTAGGCAAATTAATGATGCAGTCAGCTGCTACACAAACTTGATGGCTAAACACACTGTACAACACACACAGAATTTGTGAACGGCAGACGCTTCTAGCATCACAATCGAGTATGTAGTTGCATTGAAAAGCGTGCCAGAACATTCAAAACCCCACACAAGTGCACAAAAGACATTATAACGAGTATTAGAGTAAATAACTACTCTACTTCTACAGTCAGTTTTCTCTGTCAGCACAACTAACTTGACAGCGGAGCAACACATTGAAGAGAATCTTGCTGAGCAAGTTAAAGTTAGTTAAACAGCTGACATGATTATATCAGCTACATACTTTAAAGGAATAGTTCACCCAAAAACAGCTGAAATGTACTCACCACCCACAGGCCATCCAAGATGTACAGTAGATTAGTTTGTTTCTTTATAATAGATTTGTAATAGATTCTGAGAAATGTAGCATCACATCACTTGCTCACCAATGGAACCTCTGCAGTGAATGGGTGCCGTCAGAATGAGAGTCCAAACAGCTGATAAAAACATCAGAATGCTACACAAGTAATCAACACGACTCCAGTCCATCAATTATTGTCTTGTGAAGTGAAAAGCTGTGTGTTTGTAAGAAACAAATCAGTCACTGAGATGTTTTTAACTTCAAACCGTCACTTCAGGGCAAAATCCATAATCCATAACTTTGCTTCCTCCAGTGAAAAAGTCCATCCTCTGTTGTCCTCTCACATCAAAATCCACTCACATACTTGTTTAAAACCATTTTTCACTTTTTTTTTCCTAAGATACATTTTTTGGCGTTTTTGCTTTTATTTTTCATAGGACAGTTTAGACAGGAAGCAAAGTGGGAGAGAGAGAGAGAGATGGGACGGGATTGGGAAAGGTCTGCAAGCCGGGACTCGAACTCGGGACACCCTATGCATAATGGTGCTATATGTCGACGCACTGCCCACGAGGCTATTGGCAACGACAAACTCTTATTCTGACGGCACCCATTCACTGCAGAGGATCCATTGGTGAGCAAGTGACGAACAGTAAAGTGATGTTTCTCCAGATCTGTTCAGATAAAAAAACTAACTCATCAACATCTTGGATGGCCTGAGGGTGAGTACATTTCCAATACATTTTCATTTAAGTATATAAGGGGATGTGCAATTGGCCAAGCTCTGTTGTGTGTGTGTTTGCATACTTGACTGTATGAAACTGTCAGAGGAACAGCACTGGCAGTGTGAATGAGCATCAGCTACAGTCTGTGTTTCTGCAGTGCCGCTCGATGACGGCATCCGGGGGCCCCACAGGCAGAGTCATAAATCACAGACAGATATGGACCCTTAATGACCGTCAGGCAGAGCTGTTACACTCCTCGACAAAACGCTGCAGACAAAACGTGCTGCAGGCGGCCAGAGGACATGAAACCCTGTCAAAAACCCTAAAAAAGATGACCGTGCTGCCTTAAAAATGTCCGCTTGAATCTCAGCCCAAAGCAGCTGGGCGTTTATTTCCTTGTGTTTTGTTTTGCTTTCAGCCCACGTTCAGATGAATGAACTGTCTCAGAATAGAGGACAAGCATACTACTCAAAACAACTCTTTCAAATGTTTTTTTGTTGTTTTGAGAACATGTCTAGCTCATATTTCAAGCCGAATTCAAGAGGGAAAATTATAAATATTTTGCATTCAAAAATAGTGTGTGTCCCGCAGTGCAGTACATTAGATTCGACCTTCCAGGGTGTCAAAAATGAAAATATGAATTGTAATTGGCTGTTTTGATAGAACAGTCAGAAAATATTACATATAATAGGAGTAAAATGCAAATAAAAATGCATAATAAGATAATAAGTGAATGACAAAGTAATGTGACAATGTTGTCGGTATACACTACCATTCAAAAGTTTGGGGACAGTAAGTTATGTTGTTGTTTTTAAAGATTTTCTTTTATTGTATGTCTGTTTCCACAAAAATATGAAGCAGCACAACTGTTTTCAACTTTAATAATAAGAAGAAGAAATGTTTCTTAAGCAGTAAATCAGCATATTAGAACGATTACCGAATGATCATGTGACTGGAGTAATGATGCTGAAAATTCAGCTTTGCATCACAGAAATAAATTACATCTTAAAATAAATATAAATAGTAAAAAATTATTTTAAACTGTAATAATATTTCACAATTGTACTGTCTTTTTGATCAAATAAACGCAGCCTCTGTGAGCAAAAGACTCTTTCTTGTTGCTCTTTTGTTAAGCTGAAAAGCATAAATGCTAAATACATAAATGTAAACATCTTACCGACCCCAAACTTTTGGTGGTATACGACTGTTTGAAATGTTCATTGTTACATACTATTACACATTATTTAAAAATATATAGTAGGCACAATATACTGTATATATTGCAGTATGTAAGTTTAACTATTCTGAACACAACCAACATGAGCAACGAGCAGGCCATGAGAAAACTAACCAATCAAATAATTGATGGAAAGGTCACATGACACAATATCTCTTTCCTATGGTCTTCATTATATTATTTTTTCAGGCAGGTTTTCATATTGTCATTTTTCATGGGGTCTGTGTGGGTTGGATGTTTCTGATTCAGCTGTGAATGTTCATCATTTCTTAATTTCAGAATCAATCACACAAACTTACTGAGAGTAGAGCATCCGGGAGCGGACGATGAATTTGAAGATGTACTCAAGGGCTTTGAGCGTCCTCAGGATGGGTTCACAGGCCTCCCCTCGACTGGACACATCCAGATACGTCTTCAGCACAGACATCAGCTTTCTACAGTACACAGAAAGAGACAGAGTTTGTGTGTGTAGTTCTCTAAATAACAAACTAAATGAATTAAACTACAAAATTAAGACTGCACACAAAAATCAACCAGAACAACTAATAACAGGCCAAATTACATCACCATGATAATTAATTCACTCCTGTTTCTGTTGATTATTTACCGATGTTCATGTACATTTGAGACTCACACACACAAACATACTGACATCTAATGATCAGAAACACAATGAAGAGCGTTTGACCTACTTGTAAGCCAGCGTGGCGCTGAAGTGTTGTTTGATATAGGCCTCCAACACAGTGTTGAAATGTTGAAACTTTCTGTCGGCGATTAGACCGATAATATAGATCTGAAAGAGAGACTGTATTTATAACAGTGTTTCTCAACCAGGAGCACAGGATAAATCTGCTGATAAATTGCAAAATCATCCTGTAATCACAAATTACTGGAAAAGTAATGTAAATTAAGTGGTCATAAAGGGCGTAAAAACTGGTGAACATTAATTTCTTGAAGCTTTTGGAATTAGGTAATTCAATTAAAAAAAATGAAATAAAAAAATATATATATTTATTTTTACTTATTTTTTATTTATTTTGATAGCACAGTTTGACAAAAACTAGAGAGGACAGAGGGGAATGGGACTGGGAACCAATTTTAATATAAAAATGTATAATATAATAATAATAAAATCCGTGTTGCCCAGTGACAGCCCCAAAACATTACTGCTCTTGAGGAATGGGCCAAAATACCAGCAACTGTGTGTGAAAACCTTGTGAAGACTTACAGAAAATGTTTGACCTCTGTCATTGCCAACAAAGTGTATATAACAAAGTATTGAGATGAAATTTTGTTATTGACCAAATACTTATTTTCCACCATAATTTGCAAATAAATTCTTTAAAAATCCTACAATGTGATTTTCTGGATTTTTTTTTCTCATTTTGTCTCTCATAGTTGAGGTATACCTATGATGAAAATTACAGGCCTCTCTCATCTTTTTAAGTGGGAGAACTTGCACAATTGGTGGCTGACTAAATACTTTTTTTCCCCACTGTATATATATATATATATATATATATTTATTTATTTATTTATTTATTTATTTTAATATATTGCCACTACTATTTGCTGAAAATAAATACAATAAAAAAAAACATTGAATACAAGTAGCTTTTTCATCATAGCAGATTCAATACCAGAAATATCGAATATTGTCTTGGACAGTGTGGGGCCTTGTTGTCAAAAAGGTTGAGAATCACTGAATTATAATTTGCATAATGTATAATTTTGTATTTAAAACTGAATATGACATACACCTATTGCATCCTCCAGTTATCTTTTATTGTTTTATATTCTCCTGGTTTATCATTTTGGGACTAGAATATGTCACCAGAAGTGAGCTAAATAGGACAAAACATTCCTATGGGGACAACAGGGGAAGTGCTAATTTGGAAAAAAAAAAAAGATTCATAAGAGTTCAAAAGATTCAGAGAGTAAACAATGTTTTTTAAGGTTTCTTTCAGGGTTTGGATTAGTCAACATTTTAATTAGCTTCATATAAACACAACAGAAGCCTCTGAACTGGCCCCAGTTAGCAACTGTCATCAAAGGTTCTATAAAGAACCTTTAATATCCATGGGATCTTTCCATTCCACAAAAGGTTCTTTATATTTTTTTAAATGTTCTTCACACTGAGAAAAATTTTTTATTTTAAGTACTGACTATAGAACCAGAAAATCTGAGCATATCACACCAGTCCTCAGGTCCTTACACTGGCTTCCAGTTATATTTAGGATTGATTTTAAAGAATTTTTACTCGTTTATAAATCACTCAATGGCCTAGGACCTAAATACATAGCAGATATGCTCACTGAATATAAACCTAACAGACCACTCAGATCATTAGGATCGAGTCAGTTAGAAATACCAAGGGTTCACACAAAACAACGGGAGACTGCTTTTAGATATTATGCCGCCCGCAGCTGGAATCAGCTTCCAGAAGAGATCAGATGTGCTAAAACATTAGTCCCATTTAAATGCAGACACAAAACTCATCTGTTTAGCTGTGCATTTACTGAATGAGCACTGTGCAGTGTCCGAACTGATTGCACTATATTTTATGAATAATCATTTTCCATTCTTAACAGTTTAAAATTCATTTTAAACCTCTTAAATCAATTTTTAAATCATTTTCAAAGTTTTTAGATCGAGTCAGTTAGAAATACCAAGGGTTCACACAAAACAACGGGAGTCTGCTTTTAGATATTATGCCGCCCGCAGCTGGAATCAGCTTCCAGAAGAGATCAGATGTGCTAAAACATTAGTCCCATTTAAATGCAGACACAAAACTCATCTGTTTAGCTGTGCATTTACTGAATGAGCACTGTGCAGTGTCCGAACTGATTGCACTATATTTTATGAATAATCATTTTCCATTCTTAACGGTTTTAAATTCATTTTAAACCTCTTAAATCAATTTTTAAGTCATTTTCAAAGTTTTTAAATACCTTGTTTTATTGTTGTGATTATTTTTTTTATTATTGTTTTCTTTTCTTTTATGTAAAGCACTTTGAATTACCATTGTGTATGAAATGTGCTATATAAATAAACTTGCCTTGCCTTGCCTACTGTTCACTAAAATGTTCTTTAGGGAACCAAACATGGTTCTTCTGCGACATTTCGGCAAAAACACCAATTTGGAACCTGTGTAGATGTGTGTGTATGTTTGGATGTTGCTTACCAAAGCGTCAAAAACCAAAATATCATAATCATCAGTCTGAGAATGTTCCATCATGATGTTGAACAGGGCGTCCAAGGTGTCCTGCAGGAACTACACACACACACACACACACACGTAAACAAACATGCATCCTGAACTACTGATGCTCATGTATAATTTCAGTGCAACACACCTTCACAACCTCCTCCCCGTCAATGAGTTTGAGCTCCTGTAGGTTTTGTTTCAGCATTTCAGGACGAGTTCTCCACTTCAGCAGACCCAACAAACCCACTGAGAGACAGACAGAGACAGTGTATCCTCAACTGACTCTTAATTACCATGTATTCCTGAATCTATTTATTTCATGTGGTGAATATGTCCCGTGTGTGGGTTCGTTAGGGTTGCATTGTGATGGATGTTTCCGGAAGATTCATTAGCGTGATTAACGGGCTTTCTCAAGAACAGCTGTTACAGTACACCTGCGTCTGTGTGTGTGTCCTTAAAGGGGCTTCGAGATAAAAGTCATTTAACAGTAACACACACACACAAATACAAAAACAATTGAAATATTTAGATTTAACCCTACAGTATCATGTTTGACACATTAATTTCCAAGGCCTCTAATTTCTCAAGACCTGTTGCACACAATCTGCTACATGCCATCTGTGGTCTGATTGATAATTTAGACTTTTTTAGCAAGTAAAATATCTTTGAGTATAATTGTACAAATGTCCACCTTCAAGATGAACACTTACTGGACTGAAGCAGCTTAGCTTTATCTAATTATCCATTATGTATTATGTGTTGCATTATGTGTTTGGCTCATCAAACCAAGCATCACCTTAATAAGACATATTAGAGATATAGAGTGACGACTGATATTTATATCATTTCATGTAAGTATCTGCTATTCTGTTATAAAGATCTGATTGATTTACATTACAAGCATCAGAATTTCATCTTACATTTTGTCCATATAAATATCAGCATCTGCACCAAATTGCACATTTTTTGCTCAGTTTGCGGCTCTGGATAAAATTGAGCTGTTTTTTCCTCCATATTTTCACTATATCAGACTATATCAGCCATAAAACCTAATGTATCAAATATGATACTCAACAAAAAAAAAATATGCATTTTTTTTTCTTCAATAAACTTGAATTTTTTGGGATTTTTTTCAGACTACTATTTCATATGTCAGGCTTTACAGGGTTAATATATAAATAATTAAACTGACTACATTTACTTTCTTAACAATAACACAATGCTGATCTCATTGTGAGTCTGCGCACATTATCCGGAAAAATAGTTTGTCTTGCACTCTTTTATCAGAATGCAATAACCTGCTTTCCTCTGAAATGACTTTCCTTTTCAGCTGATGTCATCGAGACCTCTTATTTTTCAGCCTCCTGTCATGTAGAGATGCTTTTCATCTCTTAATGTATAAAATGTCACCCTACATGTTTTTCTCTCTGAATATCCTTTCTCACTTGGAAATTCATTGCATTACAAAAGTGAAATGGACTGTGAATGTCCTCTCATTTCGACTAGAAAAGCTACATGAGACTCTTTTCACACACACCGTTCTGCGTGAGTTTGGTGGAGCAGACGAGCGTTGAGATGGTGAAGATGTCTCTGGAGCTGACGGACAAGCCGCACACACTGCTGGAGCTGCGCATCAGCGTTGACCCCTTGTGGCTGTCAGAGTGAGTGCGCTCGGACGGCAGGGACAGATACGAGCTGACGGCCTCCATGCGCTTACTGTCACCCTGCAGAAAGACACAAAAGACATGCAGGATGTCCATATCGGTTTGTGAATGTGTGAATGAACTGATTAGCTTACCTGTCATCCACCATATTATCAGACATAAATGTTTACTGATTTGTAGTTTACACTGCAATTGATTTTCTTACTCTGTGTTTTTGCCTTGTTTCCAGTATAAATGACATTATATTAAACATTCTTAAATCAAGATAAAATTACTTGACTACATTAGCATGCTCTGCAAAACTGCTGATTGTAAAGTATATACTTTTGAATATGTGGCGAGACAGTACACAGTACTGGGACATACTATACATTTTAAAATTAAGACTTGATGTCACATTATTTTATGCTGTCTGCTCACTGGTGTCTTCACATATTTTAAAAAACTGTAGTTCATGACTGCAGGAGACACTAAAGCTGCTAAACTTACACTCCTGTGAGGATCGATGACGGAACATGAAGCGCAGGTGGATTCTGGGCATCTCCTCCAGAGGAATCGCCACCTACAGGCCAGAGGAAAACATTACTGCATGCAGACTGAAAGGATACAAAAGGATTAGACTCAACATCAAATGATCTGCTTTCAAAATGATCCTGGTCTAATTGTGAACAATTAAGCTCTTATTATGGTGCTTTTATTTTCAAACGCTCCCCTCCAAATCACCTGACTCCGTAAATGTATAATGGATGGATACAATTGTTAAATGCATAAAATATATGGACAAAATCAAGTCATGTTTTTTTGTTAAACATCATGTTTCACCTAAAAATGTGTAATATGCTGGAAGAAAAATGAGCTGTCAGGGCTGTTTGACATGCACACACACAGAAGTGGTGCTCAAGCACCTTTTTTTATTTGGCCTCTGACTAGATAAGTGCTCTTTTTCCAAGACATTTATTTTTCCTTTTTTATTTTATATTTTAGTTTGGCCCATGGCATCAGTTCTCAAAGGGTGTGCCCGACAACTGACAAGCATTTTTTAAATGAATTGGGTGAGACATTGATTCAATGAATGATTCAATGATTCATAAAGACAGTGGTCACTTGATTTGTTCATGAATGAATCAGTCGCTTTTATTGAATCTGTCGCTTTCATTTATTAACACTTGCTGCCACCTATTGGCGGTTTTAGTTTCATATTTATAAATATTTATATATATATATATATATATAAGAGTGGGCCAGAATCCCAGTCTGCGTACAACTACATTAGCATGCTCTGCAAAACTGCTGATTGTAAAGTATATACTTTTGAATATGTGGCGAGACAGTACACAGTACTGGGACATACTATACATTTTAAAATTAAGACTTGATGTCACATTATTTTATGCTGTCTGCTCACTGGTGTCTTCACATATTTTAAAAAACTGTAGTTCATGACTGCAGGAGACACTAAAGCTGCTAAACTTACACTCCTGTGAGGATCGATGACGGAACATGAAGCGCAGGTGGATTCTGGGCATCTCCTCCAGAGGAATCGCCACCTACAGGCCAGAGGAAAACATTACTGCATGCAGACTGAAAGGATACAAAAGGATTAGACTCAACATCAAATGATCTGCTTTCAAAATGATCCTGGTCTAATTGTGAACAATTAAGCTCTTATTATGGTGCTTTTATTTTCAAACGCTCCCCTCCAAATCACCTGACTCCGTAAATGTATAATGGATGGATACAATTGTTAAATGCATAAAATATATGGACAAAATCAAGTCATGTTTTTTTGTTAAACATCATGTTTCACCTAAAAATGTGTAATATGCTGGAAGAAAAATGAGCTGTCAGGGCTGTTTGACATGCACACACACAGAAGTGGTGCTCAAGCACCTTTTTTTATTTGGCCTCTGACTAGATAAGTGCTCTTTTTCCAAGACATTTATTTTTCCTTTTTTATTTTATATTTTAGTTTGGCCCATGGCATCAGTTCTCAAAGGGTGTGCCCGACAACTGACAAGCATTTTTTTAAATGAATTGGGTGAGACATTGATTCAATGAATGATTCAATGATTCATAAAGACAGTGGTCACTTGATTTGTTCATGAATGAATCAGTCGCTTTTATTGAATCTGTCGCTTTCATTTATTAACACTTGCTGCCACCTATTGGCGGTTTTAGTTTCATATTTATAAATATTTATATATATATATATATATAAATATATATATATATATATATATTAGGGGTGGAACGGTTCAACTTACTTACGGTTTGGTTTGAATCACAGTTTCGGTATGGTTCGGTATGTGCTATGTTTAGGCAAAAACTATACTGTCAAATGAAAATAAGAATAATCTATCTAACTACAAGCAACAGCACAAATAAATACAATAGAATAAAGATATAAAATAAACAGTGATTTTCAGTTTTTTTTAGGTAGGTCTAACATTAATTTTTAGGTACAGAAATTTAATAAAGTAATGAAATGTAAAACAGCATTACATATTTGACTGTATAAATTAAACATTAATCTTTATTAAAGTTACAAAAGCTATTCAATAAAGAGCAGTGAGTGATTTATTAGTTGTTGCTGTTTGATTAGAGAATGCACTGATCCAGTTCAGTGCATATCGGTGCATATGCACCACGTTCGGTACGGGTGATGACGGAATAAATGCTCATATTCCAACATACGGCATTCGCACTAAACAAGAGTGAATGGTTTGTCCACGTTTTTTTTTTTCCATCGCTGTTGTTGTAATGTATGGGGGAGGCAGAATGTGCATCCATCAACAGAAACAGATTAGCCAAGCCCTGTTTGGTTTACGTGTTATTTATAGCAAACCATATTACAGATGCGTTATCAGATTTAAGTTGAACCACGGTCCTAGCGCGTGCCGAACCGTGTGTGGAGAACTGTACGGTTCGATTTTTTACCGCAAACCGTTCCACCCCTAATAAATATATATATATATATATATATATATATATATATATATATATATATATATATATATATTACCACTTATAATCCACTTGGATTTGACTGATGGACTGCATTCTGACACCACAAGCTTCATGCTTTCTAACCATATCTCCACTTTGTTCCCTTTATGTTGTAATTATTCTGCTTATTGTACATATAAAATATAGGAAGTTTATATCAGTAGTTCCATATTCATAATTGTGACCACACAGTCTGTTTTCAATGTCTACATTTTTTATGTAACATGTTACACCTACCAATGTCTTTATTCAAGATGTGCATATACAGTATATACATAGAGAGAGCGTCTCTTATGATATATACATATATTACTTTTACTCTCTGCACAACTCTGTATACATTTGATTGATTTTAATAAAATGAATGTACTTGAATTGTGCAGCAAACACTCGGACTATATAAGTATCTGATCGGGACACTGTATCTGCAGATCCTCAATATTCAATGACTTGGATTGGATCGGGGGTGCAAAAAACCTGTGAATTACCATTGTGATATATAAAAGTCATTTAACAGTAGTATACATAGATATATACATACATATATATATATATATATGCTTATGTGCCAGATCTGCAGTGCAAAGATGGATTTTGTTGATACTAATTCACAGACAGATTGGTAGTAGGCTCAATGTCTCACTCACTTCTTACCTTAAAAGTTTCCATCCAGCGAGGTTGTTTGATCTGGTAGTAAATGACTGATCTATATTCATTTACAGGCCGATCTCCAGCTCCCAGACAGATTGAGTTCTATACAATAGCACAAAAGAGCTGTCAATCAACAAAGAAAGCCCCATCCCAGTGAGATCAGGCTGACCTTTGGCCTCACGGTCAGGGGTCACACTCACCGGCACAACCTTCCCCTCCTCGTCACACACCAGCATAATGACCTCCACGTTCTTCTGTGTGGTTTTGTTGTACTTGTCGAAGTCTCCGGAGTGCAGCGTGAGGTAGATGTCATTGCGGATGTCACCCGGCATGATGATCTCGGGAAAACCCAGTTTTCGCGCAACCACGGTGCTCCGGTCCACCAGGTGGGGATATTCCTTTCGGATCTGGACGATGTCTCCCACTAGAGCTTTCATGGTGACCCACAGACCTGACATGGTGTTTAATGTTTTATATTAGTTTCACCATCAGGATCATGACAGGAATGCAAGGAATTTCTCTACAATGAAACTTATGTGTCTAGACATATAGAATGATTTCAAAATATTCTTTAGAGAAGCATATGAATTATAGCAGGTGCATATGGTGGATGAATAAGGTAAAATAACACCATAAATTAAGTTTTAACTTTTTTTTGTTCATCCTTTCTCATTCTCTAATGTCTGTTTTAATGGCAGTCATAAAGCTCAACCATCTCTCATCACTCAATCACTCTGTTCTGCTGTATTGTGTCTCTGTGTGTGAGTGTGGGCAGGCGGGATTATGGGTCCAGCAAGTGTTAAAGCATTAGCGGAGCGAGCGGTGATGCTGTGCCTCATTTGAGCACAGATAACTGCTCTGAGCCGTACCTTGACCTCCGCAGTCACCTCGCGACGTTGTTACTTTGTTGAGGAGAGTGTGAAGAAAGTCATTCTCAGCTATAACCCTAAAAACACACATACACAGAAACAGAGAAAAAAAGTAATAAAAATTATTATTTTAAATATTAACATGAATAAATATCTATATTCATTTACAGGCCGATCTCCAGCTCCCAGACAGATTGAGTTCTATACAATAGCACAAAAGAGCTGTCAATCAACAAAGAAAGCCCCATCCCAGTGAGATCAGGCTGACCTTTGGCCTCACGGTCAGGGGTCACACTCACCGGCACAACCTTCCCCTCCTCGTCACACACCAGCATAATGACCTCCACGTTCTTCTGTGTGGTTTTGTTGTACTTGTCGAAGTCTCCGGAGTGCAGCGTGAGGTAGATGTCATTGCGGATGTCACCCGGCATGATGATCTCGGGAAAACCCAGTTTTCGCGCAACCACGGTGCTCCGGTCCACCAGGTGGGGATATTCCTTTCGGATCTGGACGATGTCTCCCACTAGAGCTTTCATGGTGACCCACAGACCTGACATGGTGTTTAATGTTTTATATTAGTTTCACCATCAGGATCATGACAGGAATGCAAGGAATTTCTCTACAATGAAACTTATGTGTCTAGACATATAGAATGATTTCAAAATATTCTTTAGAGAAGCATATGAATTATAGCAGGTGCATATGGTGGATGAATAAGGTAAAATAACACCATAAATTAAGTTTTAACTTTTTTTGTTCATCCTTTCTCATTCTCTAATGTCTGTTTTAATGGCAGTCATAAAGCTCAACCATCTCTCATCACTCAATCACTCTGTTCTGCTGTATTGTGTCTCTGTGTGTGAGTGTGGGCAGGCGGGATTATGGGTCCAGCAAGTGTTAAAGCATTAGCGGAGCGAGCGGTGATGCTGTGCCTCATTTGAGCACAGATAACTGCTCTGAGCCGTACCTTGACCTCCGCAGTCACCTCGCGACGTTGTTACTTTGTTGAGGAGAGTGTGAAGAAAGTCATTCTCAGCTATAACCCTAAAAACACACATACACAGAAACAGAGAAAAAAAGTAATAAAAATTATTATTTTAAATATTAACATGAATAAATATTATGCATTTATTTAATGGATACATTCAGAAATATATATATATATATAGAGAGAGAGAGATGACAGGAATGAGAGAGAGAGAGAGAGAGAGAGAGAGAGAGAATCAATTTGACTTTTTAATGCCATATTTATGACTTTATAATCTCATAATTTGAGATGAATTTTCCCTAATTTGCCTTGTATCATAAATTAGATTTTTTTAGGTCATATTTATGACTTTTGCTCATAACATTTTGATTTTGACTTATCTCATAATTTAGATTTTTGTCATACTGTAATTTTGACTTTTATCTCATAATTGCAATTTTTTTAATCTCATAATTATTTTATTTTGTGTGTGTGTGTGTGTGTGGTGAAAATATGGTAAAATCATAAGGTATAGAAAGTCATAATTATGTCATCTATCTATCTATCTATCTATCTATACAAGTTATTATAGTTTTAAACAAGATACTTTCAAAATGTCACTGTTATTAGAGAAATATGTGTATAATATATATATGTGTGTGTGTGTATGTGTGTATACATGCATACATACACAAATATGTGTATATATATTGACTTATTAAAGCTATAATTTTATGTTTTGAAAGTTACTTTCAATAATAACATGTAAGAACTATGTATATATATATATATATACATATATATATATATATATATATATAGGAATAGTTACACATTTCCATATTGGATATTGGGTCTTCAGAGCCAAAGGTCAGTGGCTTCTGAGAATTTTTCTATTAAAAAATAATTAAATAAATATATCCAAATAAAAAAATCATCAGTTGAGCCCAATTAGATATGATTATTAAAAGATAAGATCAGATGTTTTATCAGGCTATTATTATTTTTTACGTTTAGATACTTATGTAAGGCAGAAGGCCATGTGACAGAAAAGATACTGTATGGGGGTTCAGAGTTTTCCTCTTGAAGTCTGGAGTGTTTTTAGATTTTGCTTAAACAAACATAATCATAACGCTCTCATCATGTGCAGAAAACAAAGTTAACTAGTAATGTCAAGTGTTTATGTTGTCTTTCCTTGCCATCTACAAATAATTTCCACAATTTTAACAAAATTTTTATTTTTAAAATGCTCTTAACATACTGATTAATAATGCTAAATGTAGATGAAAAAAAAAACTTGTCTCAAACCTGGTTTGAACAGTCGCAGTACGCTAGGTAAAAATAACTATATTTGCAGCATTGTTGTATTCTGCAGTGTTTTAGCAACTGTGTTTCTCCTTCTGTTTAAGCATCATCTGCAGTGCTTAATGCCACTTTAGTGTCTTTGAAGAGAAGCAACTCACACGAGAAGGGCTTGAAAGAATTACACTAAATGACCCTGAGCGCTTGTGGTTTGAACCGCTCCGTTGTTTTGAAGTGCTGCTCACTTCATTTAGAAATGGTAAAATGGTGCTGCCGTTGCCATTATGTCTCGCGGCCCGGTTGGAACCAAGCAGAGGTCCAGATCCGGACCGCGGTCCGCCATTTGAATATGCCTGCCTTGGGACATCAAAAAATCTCTATCATCACAAAAAAAGTTTCTTTGGAATATTCATGGAAAGCCCATTTTCACCATATAAGAAAAGAAACGTGCTTTGGTAAATCATAATTATTAGATTAAAAAGTTTCAACTATGAGATATTAGTCAAAACTACAGCAAGACAAAAAAGTCTCATAATTATTAGATAAAAATTTATGACAGTCATAATTATGAGGGGAAAAAAGTTTAAAATGAGATATAATAATATAAGATATAAAAAATGTATAATATAAGTTATAATTATCCAATTAAATAAAATTTATTATATAAAAAGTTATAAAAAACATATTAGTCAACAAAAAGTTACAATTATGACATAAAATCTCATCATGCTATAAAACGTCAGAAATATGGCATAAAAAGTCACATTTGTGTCATAATTGAGAAAAATCATCCAATTAAAAAGTCAAAATTATGAGATAAAGTCACATATAACATAAAAAGTCACATTTATGGCATGAAATGTTATAATTACGAGATCAAAGTTATAATTATGACATATAAAGTCATGATTATGAGATAATTTTTACGTGTTATGCCATAATTATGATTTATGACCAAAGTGAAATTTATGACAGTAATAATTATGAGGGAAAAAAATTTATTATGACATAAAAAGTCACTTACGAGATACTAAGTCATTATGTCATTTGACTTTTTGTCATAATTTTGAATTAAAAAGACAAAATGATGAGATAAAAAGTCATATATATAGCATAAAAAGTCAAATATATGACATGAAAAGTCATAATTATGAGATAGTTTTTACTTTTTATGCCATAATTTTACAAATTTGACATAAAAAGTCAAATTTATGTCCATTAATTATGAGGGGGGAAAAACAAATAATGATATAAAAAGTCAATTACGAGATACTAAGTCATTATTATGTAATTTGACCTTTATGTCATAATTTTGACATTTGTATCTCATAATTATGATTCACCAAAGCGTTTTTTTTTTACTCATGTGGCAGAAATGGGCTTCCATAGATACCCAAGACAGACGAGTGAAATCTGTAAGTGACTCACTGTAAAGACCACCTTCAGACTGTTGAGCATCTCAATGTCCTTGGGCAAACCTTTATCTCCCCATCGGACCAAATAATTCTCACTGCACAGACAGACAGAGACAGTGTTTGATTTATGACAAACTCCTCTTAGACTGATCATTAAAGAGTGTGTCGGTGAGACGCACCTGATGTTGGTCTGTTTGTTGGGGTCGTAAAGAGACATGAAGAGCTCCGAATCCTCACCGATACGACACACAAAGTTACGCACAAAGACATACAGGCTGTGAGTGGGAGAAGACTGGATCCGTGCGGATACTCCAGAATGATCCAGCTGAACGTTGGACTACACAGAGCAGAACAGAAGAGATGGGAGCTGGTGGTAAACAGAGTTTAAATTATCAGAGTTTATGAAAAACCTGACTGGTGTTAACCTGTGTAAAACTCACTACCACCATAACAGAGTCTTATTTAACACTTGCTGGGTTGCTAATGTGTTCTGTGTGGTTGCTAAGACATTGCTATGTGGTTGAGAGTAGGGCTGGGTATCGTTCAAAAATTGTTGATATCGATACCGATACCTTGACTTCGATACCGGTTCCTGAACGATACTTTTTTCAATACCAATTTTATGAAATCTATTTGAACAAGATTACATTATCTAAAAAAAAAACTTTGGTATTATTTTTCAGCTTGTTGATGTTTATACAGACTCAAAGCCACTGCACAAAGGAACAAAATGTAACAAACTAAAAATCAGTGCAAATAGTTTTAATAAAGCTCAAATAGTCTTCAGTTTACACATCTGTTAGCTACATTTACACTAGTACGTGTGACAGAATCACCTAGCTCAGACAGAATCGTAATTTCTATTCATTTTCTACTGATTTACTGATGAGCATTAGCAGTTTCTAGCGCTGTCTGCCTGTGCTCTCTCTTCCATGATCGAGTCTATAAGTGCCGGGGCTCAGCCCCAGACGGCCCCCGGCCCAGTTTAAACCCTGGTCTTATGTAGCATGATGTTACAGTGTGCATGAATGGTCACATAACACGCGCTTTCGGACTTGAAGTATGAACGGACATCTGCATATGATTGCATAACACAGCTCCCGCGCTACTCTCCATTGGAAATGAATGACTTTCGGTATGTCATTTGTCGGAGATAGTGGAAAACCAGCTTGAAACGCAGTGGAAATGCCAGTAAGACGAGGATCGTTTTCATTTTAAAACAAAAGCACACCAGTGTAAATGTAGCCTTACAACTACAGGGGCTGGGACGCATTCACACTAAGTCCTCACGTGTGAGCCACATCTCTGAGTGTCACAGTCGCGGACCGACTGTGCAGACCTATCGGTGTATTAGGCTATAGTACCACAAGCAGATTGCTCCGTACGTATTCACATCGCTCTCGCGGATGTCAAACACTGATCGATCAGCGCCTCTCGGTGTATTAGGCTATAGTACCACAAGCAGATTGCTCCGTACGTTTTCACATCGCTCTCGCGGATGTCAAACACTGATCGATCAGCGCCTCATTGACGTTGATGAGATTAACCCCTTAGGTATCGAAATTTGGTACCGAACGACGAGACGTTTTTCGATACTCGATAGTATCGAGGCAATTCGGTCGGTGCCTAAAAAGTATCGAACTCGATACCCAGCCCTAGTTGATAAGTGGTTGCTAGGGCAAACTGTGGAGTTGGTGGGTGTCTGAGTGGTTGCTAGGCTGTCTAGATTGGGGTCTCCAAACTCGGTTTTGTAGGGCTGGTGTCCTGCAGAGTTTAGCTCCAACTTGCCTCAACACACCAGCCTGGAAGTTTCTAGTATGACTAGCATTGCTAAGTGGTTTCTAGGATGTCTGGGTGGTTGCTAAGGCATTGCAAAGTGGTCGCTTGGGCATTATTATTGTTTTGCTAGGGTGTCTGGGTGGCTGCTAGGGCATTAGTATGCAGATCCTATGGAGTTCTGGGTGATGAATTATTTTAATGAAGTTGATCCATCTCAGGTGAGGTCATTAAGTTACTCCAGTGGGGTTACAGGGGGATATTCAGCATGAATTCACAGCAGAACCAGACCGAAGGAAGGTAAAGCTATGGGAGTTCATTGATTTCGTTTGTTCAGTCATCCCGAACATCTAAAAACGTCTCATTAAAACTATAAACTCGCTTTCTGATGCTTGAACATGCAAGAAGCTCCTTGTGGTTTCATTCTCAGGGTTCATCTGCAAACCATTAAATGAAAGTGAAATGAAAACCTGTTCCTCTTTAATGCGCTCTGTGATCTTGGCCGTAGCATCCTCGTGTGCTCTGAAGAGGCTGATGACGCTTGCGCGCTCTGGGTCCAGAATATTCCCATCGGTGTCCCGTACCACCACATCCAGCTCCAAGATCCTGGAGGCAGAATAACGCTTAATTTGACTTGGAGTTTGACTGTTTGTACTCACACACACATCTAATTCACATGATAATTCAGTGCACACACACAGATCCTTGAAATTATCTGACATATGTGCTCTTGCCCGGAGCTCTGCTGGAGAAGCGCGAGTCCCAAGATGCACCTTAGACGTGACTTCCTACATTTCAAGACTCATTCTTGCACATCACAGAAAGCAACATCCCCGCAGAAGTCCACAGCTGACATGGATTCACACTTATTTTTTTTCACATGATCATTACGCTCAAGAAGTAATCTGTCAGTTTAATGAATTGTTATTTTATGTTAATAATACATGTTATTTTAGTATTATTTATATACTATTATAGATTTTTTTTTTGAATTGGCTTTTATTTTACATTTTCATTTTTCATTTTAATATTATTTAAATTTTTAGTCACTTTCTTATGTAATTTCATAATTTTAATTGGTTTTTGTTTTTAAAATATTACAAATGTATTTGTATTCCAGTTTTAATTTAACTCATAGTTTGCTCTTATTTTCAGGGAATAATTGTTGTGCTTTATTTTAAACTCATTCACATCTATATTTCCTTTAGTTTTACATTTTTCATCTGTATCTTATTTTATTTCAACAAAATGTTTTTAGTATTTAGTTAACAATCATAACCCTGGGATATATTTTTATCAAAATATTGAAATGTTTGTATTTGTACCAAATATTTGTATAATGTCACTAGGCAAAATCTTACATTACGATGAGAGTAATTTTATTTCATGACAAACAATATATATCAAAATGAAAGTAATTTTTGCAGGAACTAAGGTTGTTACAATGCCAAAAATGTTAGATAATTTTAGAAATTTCACAATTCTCTAATTTGATATCACAACAAAAACTAATACTAGCCTAGCTAATTTAAGTTCTCAAGCTTATCGAAGACAATTAAACATTCAGTAATGAAATAAGAACAAAGAAACTAATTGCAAGAAACAGCACAAGAAAATACAACAACACAAACAAAATCAAATCAAAAGCACCAAGTATTTTCTTTCCCAAATGTTTACACTGAGGACACTAATATTGGATATATAACTCATTATCTTGAGAAAACAATAATTAACTTGTAATCATGTGAAAACAGACCAAGAAATAGATCTGAATCCATGACAATGCTAATTCATTAATGTTCAGGTGTCAGAAAGACATTTTTATCCCCTTCAGGTTTGTTAATTAATTCCTTAATGTTAATGTACAAATTAACAAATCCATTAACAACAGCCTAGAGCAAATCACTGAAGTTCTGCAGAGGAATTATACCAGCCGACTGGATCATATTATTCTCTGCTTTATCAGATGTGTGTTTGCACTATGGTACAATGATGATATCAGATGATAATACCATAGTACTGTATGATTACATTCATATACTACGAATTAGGATATGAATGTATGCATGGTTTATATTACCATAGTAAAAAATGCACACAGACACGAACACAAGTGGAACAGACACTCGAAATACGTACTTATTTCCGTAGTCGATCTTTGAGGTGACTTTCTGTTTGAGCTCCTTGAACTCGTCACTCGGCAGCGTCCCGGACAGGAGCTGTGAACGCCACTCCATCAGATCCCACATCAGCCGCTGCACCTGACTGAAACGCTCCTTCTTACTGGACTGATGGAAAAAAAGACAAGCACTGAATTGGTCAGAAGTTCAGGTCATGCACATTTAATAGAGTTATTATTTTGGATGTTTCACTTGGAAGTGACACATCCAGCAGTATATATCATGACTATCATTGACAGAGTGACGTCCAGTTATCATGTCTGAAATTAATACATTATATTTTAATTATTTCATTTTTTATATATGTAAATGATTTTAGCAAATGGCTGCATTATAACAAAGAGTGAAAAATTTAAGGGGGTCTGAATACTTTCCGTACCCACTATATATATGCTATACATTTAACATTTAAACATTTAAATTATATATATTTAATATATATAATAATGTTATTAAAATTTTAAGTTTTCAAAAAGACAAACATTTTGTTCTGAGGAATGGTTCACAATAAGACCAGGAAGTAAACTCTGTCACTTCTGATTTCATTTTGACTTTAAACATCGTCCTTGTTGTCACTTCATACATCACACTGAGAACAGAAGGTCACTTTGTGGGATATAGTATGTCACGTACTGTAATGTGCTTCATGCTCTACACTGCACATTCTGTCAGGTCATGCAATTCAGAAAACTCCCATACTGAGCACAGTAGACTTACTGCAAAAGTAATATCACTACACTCTTAAAGGTCCCCTGAAATACTTAGAAATACACAGCGTTACTCTATGTGTTGACGTCATTTTAACTGAAACAAGAAGACAGGGCGGGACATATCAAGCAGCCCCACCCCTTTCTAAAATAGTCAATAGCATTCGTTTATATCACAGCATGGGCTAGAGCCGTTCAGAGCCGTTGAGCTCCGTAAAGCCGCATTTGACAGGGTATGCCAGCCACAATTTCATATATATTGCTATAAAATATAGCATTCCGTGTAGAATTCAAATAGCTCCGATACATTAGTAGTATATAGTGCACTACGTGCCATTCACTGTACAGAAAATACTAATTCTGTGGACAAGTGACCGATTTCAGCCGCGGCTTCAGTGTCTATTTTATAGTGTAGGGGGCGGGCGCTTCACATTCTAGAGAGCATTTGATTGGACAGAAAGTTTTATGAGAAGCTGAAGTAAGAAAAAAAACGTTGAGCCATTTTGGCGGAAGTGACGAACTGCAAGCTTTGAATGCTTATATCTTCTAAATGCAAATTTTGTCACTGTTTTGGAGCACACTGCCTTATAGATAACCTTAACCTACTGACTACCAGGAAAAAACTGTTTTGTGAATTTAGTATTTTGTCATATCATTACATTGTTTAGAGCATAAGAAAAAAAATTATAAAAAAATTATATTTTATTCATGTTATGCCATGTCCTCTGTAAAAGACATCGGGACTTTAAAAAGTCCTGTTTTTTAAGAAATAAAAATACATAAATAGACATGAAAAGGCAAAAACAGTGGGATTTGTGTTTTAATCACAAATCAATTTTAATTTTTTATACCAAACTTTATATAAAGATGATTCTCAACTACGTTATGAAAGATATTTAAAAAAAATAATAATTATTTATGCAAAATGTGTGTAAAATGGCCATAAACAAGTTTTTCCATTATATACAATGTATCTATAAACTATCTAATTTGCATATTAATGTGTTTTTGGGGGACAACATAAAATGAACAAATAAGTGCAATAATGGGAGTAATAATTAGCAAGATTTGCATAATAATATCTCATATTTAATAGGAATATTGATACATATTTGTTTTCTCTATTCATTTGTTGTGTCTCCCAAAATGTGTAATAAACCTGCTTTAAGTCCTGGTGTCCTCTACAGTGTACAAGTAAGAAATCAACGTCCTGTTTCATAACAGAAGGTCATATTTTGATTTGAAACCCAATAACATTTTCCTGAGATGTTGATTTATGACAAACAATTTGAAAATTAGTCAGATTTAAATGATAATTACAAAATATTATCATATTTCCATAAGGGTGTTACACTTGATCACTAAATTAATGTCAGCCATTTTTAAAGACCAAGGAGAGGGAGTGGTCATGGTGAAACATCCAATCATTTGGTATCTCTGGAAAGCCCTGAATGTGCTCTGTACAGGACATCCAGACTGTGGCACTGCGACATGTAACAGAGAAATCACTAAAACATAATGTCCTCTACAGAGGACAAAACTCCACAGCTGGTAGTCAGACTAACATATTGATACTAACACCCGAAAAACTTTAATTTTGGTTTCATGGGGACTTTAAAAATAAAGGTTCCAAAAACAGTTTTTATCCATTTTTCAGTGGCGGCTCCTCGGAGAAGGCAGGGGAGGCACAGCTTCCCCAAAATTTTGAGATGAAAATGGGAGGAGGATGATTTAATGTTAATAAAATTAATTTTATTAATTTTACACAATTCATTTCAGTTCATGTCTCAGAATGTGTATTTTTTGTTTGTAATTTCACAGCTGTAATACCATAACATGTTAATGAAGTTGGAAAGTGCCGCTTTACTATCGCAAATGTGCCGAATCTGCTGATGTAATTACAACCGCTAGGTGATAGAGAAGGCTGGGGGGGGGAAGCTGAGCTCTTGTGCCTCCGTTGGTAAAAAAATAGCCAATCACCATCGAGTGTTCACTTTCAGCGCTGAGGAGTGTTGAGAAAAGAAACCTTGCAATGGAGGCTAGCCTCCTTCTGATATCAACCAATCATCATAGAGACGTAAATTACGTGATATTAGTTTGAACGTCTGCCGCTGCGCTGATAATGTACCAAGTACTTATGATGAGTAGTGATATTGAATATTTGATCGCCAACAGATTTACCAAGCTGTCATTCAAACAGTAGCCTATATATACAAATTTAAAAAAAAAGGGAAAACAGCCTAAGCTGGATATAGGCTACAGCAGTCTGCTTAATTAAATGCCGTAACAGGCAGCTCTCTTTTAACACAGACTTTTAAGAAGGGATGGATGTTTGCTTCAAGATGGAAGGATGGGTGGACTGACGGATGAACAGAAACTCACCCTCTCTTTTCGACGATGACTTCCTTTAACTCTATAAAGCTTGCAGGAAATGCTCCCTTAAATATGGAACAAAGTAAATCAGCAAACAGGTGGGAGAGGAACTTCAGGTCAGATATTCAGGAATAAAACTTTCTGCTCTTGAACAAACACCAAAAACTAAAAGCCGTTTACTCACTTTTTTCTCTTTGTCCTTGATCACGTAACCTTTAAACCATCCTGAAACAATAACAGACTGGTTTAGATTTCAGGCAATTTAGGAGAATATTTCTGTTGCTCAAACAGCTTTTAAAAAATTATTTTCTTAAGTTTTTTTGTCTTGTTTTACAGTACGACAATCAAAATGTTCTTCAATCAAGACATTTGCTTGATAAACAAAATGACTAGATATCAAGCCTTGTTTTCTGAAAAATGTATCAAAATTCTGTGAGATTAAGCTTATACAAATATCTGAAACAAGCTCAGAAACAATCTTGTTTTCCCTTTGAATGTTTTTTTATTTTATTTTTTCTGATCTCACTGGCAGATATTTTCCTGTTTCAAGCATAAACTTATTCTGAGAATATTATTTTATGGTAGCAAAACAATAATCTAAAAATAACCATTAGGGAATGTTCTGTATAAGTTATATTTAAAAATAACCTCCCTGCAACATTCTTGGAACGTTATTTAATAATAAGAACGATCCAAAAAATTTTATATTTGGTTCTAAAAAATAAAAATACTAACGTTAGGGGAACATTCAGTGTTAGCTGGCTTAATTTTATCAATTTTGCTTCTCAAGTAAATATATCTTGATTCAACCCTCCTGTTGTGTTGAGGCCAATCTGACTCACACTCGACTTTTCAACCTGCTCAAAATACTGGTTATATTTCTCATTTAGGGTTATGAATGTGCATGCAAAGTTTCGACTTAAAAATGTGTTTTAAAAAGGCTGTACAAATTTTATTACAACTTTTGTGTTGAGGTCATATTGACTCTCCCATTGAACCCCATTGGTTTCCAAGCAATTTGCCAAAAAATCTACTCAAAGAGTGATTTTAAATAAATAACTTTATTATAGCTTCTCAGACACTAAAATATGAAATACCTGAGAATGTATGAAAATGAAGACTAAGAAACTAAGACTCATTTTCTGAATCATCCAAGAAAAAGTTATTGTTTCCTCTAGCTCTATCTGTTACACAGTCAAAATAATATCTGTCAGAAGTAGTTTTGATTGTTTCAGCACTGAAAAGACGAATGAGAAACCCATTTTAAAGGCATAAAATGGCAGAGAAAGTATAAATAGTAATACATACTACTTAAACTAAGTACAAATAATGTTAGATACTATTTGTACTAGTAGTTATTTGCACCTCAATGTACAAATTGTCACTATATGTTTTTGTTTTTGTTTTACAAAAAATAAATAAAAATAAAAAACCATAACTATATGTGGATCAAACTGACCCCTAACACACAAAAAAAGTTTTTTTTTCTGTTGTTATATTAATCTTTAGTGTTTTTCATAATGTCAATTTTTTGATTTGGCTAATTGCATGGAAACCAACTTGGGTCAGTTTGACCCCAAACACAGAAGCTGTACCCAGTTTTTGAACACAACAGGGGAGTTGAAAATGTTTAGATATTTGCACTGGAAAACAAGAAAACAATACTGAGTACGAAAATCTTTATTTATTTTTTTTCAGTGTGGAAAATGGCGCAAGCGACGCCAAGGTCATGGGTTGCATTATCAGGGAATAAATGAACTGATCAAATGTATACTTTGAATGCAATGTGCATTGCTGTGTATAAAAGCCTTTACCTAATGCATAAATGCAAAAGTAAATGCAATATCCCAGAATCCCTCACCTTCACATGACTCCTGTATGTGCACTGTGTCCCCGATAGCCAGGGACAACTGCTTCTCCGCTTTGGCGACAAAATTCCACTTAACTTCAGAGAAATGAAAGAAAATATCAATTGCATGAAATTGAAAGAGATTCTCCCATGTCACAGTTTGGATTTATTTTTCAAGTGATGTTTAGCAAAACAGCAGAACGAGATCATTTAATGCTTCCAAAAAGACATCAATCGATATCTGCCCTCAACCACTTCAAAAGAGTCCTGTGATTCATGTCTGGAGCAGAAACGCAGCAGGACGACGCACACGCTGAACTTTAATACTTTAGCCAGCATCAATGACACTGAAAGTTAAAGAACATCATATTACACATGCGCGCGCACACACACACTCTCACAATTCATTTCTGCAAGTACGAGTTCGTTGGCCTACTTCCTCTCAGAGCAGCTTCCTGTACAACACCACACACACAGATACACACCGCCATCAGCATGTTTACAATTTAAGTAACATTTAAAATCAATGAATATGCATTTACATGATCAGACAGCTTTTATTTCCAAGTTCCTAATAAGTTTTAGCACGTGCATTAGCTTTATTTCTTCCAACAAACATGCTATGAGCTACATGCTGTGAACATGCGCACGCCTACAATCAGAAGTCAAGCCACTTTTGCGTTTTCAAGACTGAATACACAAAAATAGCCCCAACGCTGTGAATACTATATTCACAAATAACTCTAAATAAAGTTACTCAGTTAATTAGTTTCACCATTTCAAGCTCGTACTGCTGGACACTTCGCATACGAGCTGAACTATTAGCTTCTGTTGATTAAAAGAGATTTCAATGGGATTTGCATGAAATGTTTCTTCCCAAAGGTTATTTGGTCACAGCTGAAAAACTTAATGGAGTTCTCTCATACATTTCATTAAAGGATCAACATTGTTTCAGATGTTTCCCTTATTCCTAAAATAACACAAATCAGTGTTATTTTAGTATCACAGAGATACTTTTTTTTATTATTAGTTTTTATTGTATTTTCTCATCAACTTTCATCTACAATCATCAACTTTAAAAGAAAATGAGATATGTTGCTTTGATTATATATATATA